AGTGTGATGACAACAAGGTATCGACACCAATTAAAATAAACATAGTACAAGGGGAAGATCTATTTAGGCCCACCTATTTTCAGCCTTGGAATGTTTTAGAGTACATGGAAAAATTCAGCAAAAAGTTTCACAGGTGAGACAGCCAAAAAAAGCATCCTTTTACTCCTAAGGCAAGTGAAGGGTAAAGTGATATCCCAACCAATGCAAGTACATGGAAAAAGATCTAGTGTAGCTTTAGCATGCAGATTGTGAATGGAACTAAAGACTGGAATGGCCAATACCCCACATTCCTCATCACGGTCAATGACAGCATATCTTTGAGCAAGTGCACTAATATCATTTCTTATGTTGTCAGCGCCATGTGTAGCATCATTCATCTCCTGTTTTAGTTGTTCGATTTGGTTGTTGTAATCCTCCAATGATGAGCAAATTGCCTCCTACACTCACACAAGAGAATCAACTCTAGTATAGAAGCCAGCAGCAATGGGACATTAAAATACTCAAGTTGTAGAATGTTCATAACAGGCATAAAATTAGAAGGGCACACAGCAGCTCAAATGGCAATCGGAGGAGAGATAATATTTGAAAATAAGGTAAGAAAAGATCAACAATGTCATGGAAAATTATCCCAAAACATCAGGGTAACAAGATTACCTTGAAGTCATCAATTAGGGCAAAGTCTGGAAAGAATGGTAATATATCCTCAATCTTTAGAAGGCCATCAGTTTCCTTGAGAAATGCTATTGCCTTCCTTATATTCTCCCTTTTAGTTCCCTTTTCTTGTTCAATGACATGCTTGGCAACCATAAGCCAAAGCTTCTTTCTCAAATCTTCATCATCTTCCACCTTGTCAGCTTCAGCCATTGCAAGCTCGGGGTCAACCTAATTACAAGGGGGAAAATATGCCAAAATAGCACAAGACCACACAGAGATACATAAAATAAGTTACAAGATTGTGTCTCATCTATGAATCTAAATGGGTGGCTGAAAACTAGAGGAAAAACCAATTTCATTTCTCAGCTCCTTCGATTTGGAGGTGTCTGTAAATTCAGTTTGAGAGAACTCTTGAGGGCCTTTTTCCTTTTCTACTTGGGGCTATGGTGTCTTATTCAACTTGGAATTTTGGTTCCCTTCAACTATCTTGTCTGAAAATTGTAATGGGTTAAATAATTCTATGAGGTGTCTGGTGGATGAAGGTACAGCAAAATTTGTAGGGTTTGGTAAGAACGACAGCCCCCATGAAAAGAAAAAAAAAATCTGCAAACAAATTTGGTGGCGGATTTCAGAAAATAAAATTTCAAACATGAATTATCCATTTCCTCAGATTTTATTCCATCCAGTGTTCATTTGTTAACCCTGACCTTCTAAATTTCTAGCCATATTTGCTAAAACTTGCAGAAAACTGATCTGGGTCAGATTGCAAGACTTCTAGCTTAGATTTGAGTTTCTTATGGATTCTTTCAAAACTTGATGCCCTAAGTTTTACTTGGTTTTCAGCGCTGGCTGCTGGTAAACTGGAGCGCATCAAATTTCTATAAAAACAAATTGCAGTAGGATCTAGAGGCACTAAATATCACCTGTAGAGCAAGAGCAACTGCTTCTTCGTGCATGGACATCATGCTGTATATGTGAACACAGGCACGCATCCGCTTTTCTTTGAGGCAAAGGCGCAAGGCATACTTGGGATCATAGAAGAAATCCGGACCATTTTCTCGTCCTTTCCCAAACTTGCATTGTAGGAAACGCAAAAGTGCATCATCATCTTCCTGAATATAAATGAAACAAAATATCATCAAGGCAACCCTCAAAGGAACTGTGATGGTACTGTTTGAGCAAAAACTCGTGGGTGAAGAAAATAAAAGGATAAAATAACCCAAGTGCTTTCATGGAATAACTTCAGGAGCAAGAAAGTTTGGAATGACTATTCTGGCATCAAAAGGATCCAGAAAATACATATAGTTTACTTGTATATCCAGATACAGACCGACTGGCATACTTAACCTTTTATCAGTAAACAATTCAAATCAAAATCTTAAAATGATATGGAGCATGTCAAACAAAATATGAAATTACAAACTTAAAGACATTTCAACCTGTTAAAATTCTAAGAACAAACCCAACCTGTTTAGCATAGAGAGAAAGAAGCAAGTTGTGAACTCCAGGATCCTCATTATGCAAACAATGAACACAGAATTCCAAATATTTGATGACTTCATGGGTTTCATTCCTGCAGGTGACACATAGTTGCAGTGAAAAGACATCCACAATTCAACAGAAACATCAAATACATAATCCAACATCTATAAGTTAGGTAACTGAACAGGAAATAGAACTTCTGAAGGTTATTGCAATTTATAACTATTGATCTATCAATTGACGGTCATGTCTGATGAAACAAGACACAAACTTTCTTTGACAAAGTAATTTTTTACTGGTGTGAGCAGCAGCACCAAAGCTAAACTCAGACTTTCTATCATTTACAAGTCTTGTTTAGAGCCAAAAACAACTAAATAATAATGGGGACTCTCACAAGAAAATTGAGCTCGTTTTAATGCTTACAGAAGTAAAAATGCACACCCCTCTGATAAAAAGAAAAATGTAATAATTGAAAAAAGTTGGACCCATTACTTTGCATGAGGTTCACTTGAATAACGCATCATTGCAGGAATCAGTTTTCTTGGGTTCAGGTTTTTTGTGGTCATCCATGACTCAACTGTTTCATATGCATCGAGAACAATGAGATCTGGGGCAAACTTGTACTGCAAAGCAAAAACAATCTCACTAAGTATCTTTATAGAAAATAGGACTAAAAACAAGGTGGTGTGGACTCTTAAGAGTACAGAAAGCATTACAGCAAAAAACCTCGCTGCAACCATCCATGATTGGGAAATGAACCATATTTCAAATCACACTTAAACATGTACCTGAAGGTCTATTGGAACAGCAGGTTTCTGAAGCACTTCCAATGCTTTCCTTGTTTCTCCTTGCTGGAGTTAAACGCCACCCACCCACCAAAAAACAAAGGCAAACTAATAATATGAATCGGCAGGAACAAGAACTCAGGCATAAAAAGCTGCCTGCCTACATGCCTACACACACACACACACACACATATGGTTTTGTACCATGTGTGCTGTCATAAAAGCTGCCTGCCTACATGCCTACACACATACACACACTCTTATGGTTTTGTACTATGTGTGTTGTCACATGGTGTACCTGTTTGGTCAGATGCTAGAAATCTTCTATAAAAAAACACTTTCTATGCCATTGCTGAGGAATAGGATAGTTTTCCTTTCTCTGTGGTGTCATGCTTCACGTGGTTTTAGGGGACTTTTGCTTAGGTGACAATCAGTGTGATTGGCTGCTGTTTCATGATATTCCTTTTGCTTTCTTAATTTGGAGGCTGACTTATTCTCTATCATGCTTTTGTAACTCTATTTAGTCAGTTAATATAATTTTATTTTACCAAAAACAGTGTGTGCTAAGAGAAGAAATAAAGAATCCTAACCACCACTGTCAGCTAACAGACACTATCAACAAAAAGTATCTGACCAAATGAAGATACAGCTTTTTTACTTGACGAACCTACTAAAACCTATCTGCTACTGTCAAAATGACCGTGTTCTCAAATTAGAAGGATTTATCACACTAAAGTTGAAGGCAAACATAGTATTCATTAGTTTAGTTTTATGTTCTCAACCTCTATCACCACTAAATAAAAAAGAAAATAGAGGACAATTTTGCATTCTCCAATTAAACCAAACTACAAAGCATGCCAAGTAACAACAATATTCAGAAAATAAACAAAGGTTGTGAAAGCACCTGAATATAGTGGTGAATTACAATTTCATACTGTTCCTTCAGACTAGCAAAATACACTAGTTCTTCAACCCTTCCATAGCTGCAGAAAAGTATTTGAGCTAAAATTCACTCCAGCATATTTTTAACATACAAGAACAATCAAGAAGTCAAACAAAAAAACCAATAGCAACTTATGCATGTGGAAGCAAGGATACCCTAGATGGTTTGATGTTGGGCACAACTATCATAGTGCAAAAGAGTTATTTAACATGCAGTATAATAAGGAACTAATATTAATAGAATGGAATCACATCAAACAAGAAAAATTGGTTATTTATCAATGGTTCCAAGCACATTTGTCTCAAATAAGACTAGAGACAGACATTGTAGGTCTAAAGGCTAAATAAATGTCAAACACCACCAAAAGTTTATATGATTACCTCTCTAGAAGTCTCATAGTAGTTGCCTCATCCAAGACATCCTTGCAGTCACCGAGAAAAGCACAAAACTCTTGATTGATTGATTGGTACTCAGAACTACGTTTATCCAAAGCATTATCCTCTTCCAAGAGTAGCCGATTTATCTAGAAAATTGAATGTGAAATTCATTGCTAAAATTTAATGATCTCAGATACTAATTTTTGATGCAGATATGGATTGAAAAACTTTTCAAGCAATAGAACTTTTACATGCTAAAACATTACAACTCATTCAGCAACTAAAAATTTTCATGTAGTAACAAACATAGCAGAGGTGAATTATCACTTCCTACTAATGCAACAAGTGAAGAATGTCCAAGAATTTAAATCAGAACATTTCAAAAGAAGCTGCATACTCTTACAAAAAAATTTCTGCTTAAAGTAAATTAGAAGCAGATAAAATTTTGATTAATTAGCTCAGATTCAAAATGTGGATGATACAAGGATGGAAAAGGACTGACATACCATGACCTCCAAGAAACAAATCATCCACTAGCATGGTCATGCCCAACAAATAATATAAAATGTTCGCTTTTCATTTTTTTCAATTTAATTTCAGTAGATATTAGCATTTGACTTTTGAGAGAAGTAGACATAAAAGTGGAACATTAGAAGTAGAACAGAGGAAAAACTTCAGAAATGTCTGGTATTGTCAGATGCATATATCAAACCCATGCTTGTTTCTCTCTTGTGCCAGTAACATCTATTAAATTGACAATGCAATCAATCTAGAGGATCAAAGGCCAGTTAAGACCAAATATCTGAGATAGTTTTTCATCAAAGATACATGTCAGATAAATAAGTAAAACCTTATCCAAGTACAATTCAGTTGCCCATGTGGAAATCATTGTTATTTGGCACTTGTCATCCTTGGCAAGATTATCAAGCTTCCGCAACAAAAAAGTTCGCAAAGCATCCTGCATGTAAGCAAAGCTAAGTAAGAATTTCTTTGTACAAGCCAATCCTTTTCTTTTGGCAGCCCAGAAAGCAGAAGTTATCATAAATTAAATGCAGATGTAACTTTTTCTCACTACCAATAGTAAAAACCATATTATGTGTGCAATTCATATAAATAGAATGATAAGCATAGTTAAAATACAAAAAATAGGTTGAGTGTTGACCCAATTTAAGTTTGCTCAATGAAGCATTAAGGTCACATGTGAACTAATGATGGGGAACTAAAATCCTTCTCAAACTCTCGTTTTAGTATTGCATTTGCTATTTATTTATTTATGCAGAAGCATGGACAATTTATGTATTCAATGTGGAAGAAGCATGGACAACTTCTGGCAGAAAACATGATATGATGCATATGACATGCAATCATTTTGTTAAATGAAACTAACATGACCATAATGCAGAAAATACAAATGGTCCTGAGTTTACCTGTTCGCCTACACTAATAAACTTCAACGTAACTTCCTCAAATGATAATATGTAATTAATCTGAAAAGAAGAAGATAAAGCAAAACGAAACAAGGCAAAAAAACACTCTTATTAGTTATATGTCATCTTCTAAATAATGGCAAAATCACATAATGAATGAGCTATTTGAAAAAATAAAATCAAGAAACAGAGAATTCACTTTTGCATAGAAAGATGCTGCTCTTAGAAAATCCCTGGAGGTGAAAGCAGCATCTGCCTGCATCAGAAACCACTCCAGTTATACAGTGGCCAGATGACAACAAGGATTCTCCAAAAGATACTGCTTGCAGATGAAACTTAAATTTAAGGTGCCATAATTTTAAACTTGAATTCATATATCACAAACCAGCTACTATTTTACTTGCAGTGTGGTTTATTAGACATTACCTGCACTAAATATACTTGGTCTCTCTGGAGTGGGTCTCGGCAATTTGCTAAAGCTGCAGCATATTCTTTCATGTCTAGATACACCTTCCACATATCTCTCCCTTCATCGTTAACAGATACCTATTTATTTCTCAATACAGTGGACAAAACGAATAAATTACTTTCTTATGCAACATTGACATAAAAATAGAGGACTAGAGAACAATCAAGACGCTGGCAGATTTAATATTTTCCTTAGTAGTTTTAGTTTTCTTGTATAGTTCAGGAATCCTTGTGCTATTTGAATTCTAAATGAGTCCTATAACTTTTAATGGTGATTCCTCTTCTAAAAGGATTAGGATTTAGACCTAAAACTAGTATAAATTGGGCTGCCAATGCTGTTTTTCAGAAATGTCTTATATTATTATCAATCTATTTACATTTTAGAGGCTTTCTATGCACTCTAAACCTATTTTTCTTTCCAGCTTCATTATCTTCCAGTTTTTGCCATCGAAATTCTCTTCTTTCTGTTTTGAGTTAATTTCTCTTCCCACCGCCACATCATGAGATACAAACCTGAAAAATAGAATTTTGGTCATATGCATAGAACAAGCCAGCAGTGGCATCACTGCATAATCCGATAACACCCCTTGAAACCGATTCTGATGTTTGGTCAAACTGAAGCTCCTCTATAATTTGCTCACTGATTCTGTTAACAACCTATCAAAACATGACAAAGAAGTATGAACACCTAAAGAAGGTAAATGCATAAATTGGAAAATCCTAGCTGATGTGAAGGCAACCTAATTTAAATCCAAAATACTTCAGTAGTTGAACATGAGATGTAAAAGAAGAGACTAAGCAAAAGTAAAGGCCTCATAACCAGCAAAGAAGAGACTAAGCAAAAGTAAAGGCCGCCTGATAACCATAAATAGTTACAAAAACTGAATGTAATGAATGAAAACTTATGTTTATACTCACTCATAAAGTCAACCAATTGGCATTATCAAGAGTAAGAGTGTCATGAGTGCTTCTTATGACTTACCTTAACCTTGTTTCCAATAAGAAGTAAGAAATGAAATTCAGAAACTGCCATTGAACTCGGTTTAACTGCATCAGCACCATCACTTAATTTTGAATAGTCCAAAAGAGCCTTATTCTCCACAAAATTCTCATCACCATTTATGTAACTGCCCAAGAAATTTTCATTGAACAACTGTAAGTAAAGGTTTTGCAATAGAAAAGGCATTTGCTAAAACATTGAGGACTAACAAGTGGTATATGTCGAGAAAATACAATAGCCATTTTCTACGACATCAGTGGAACACAAAGCTGTACCAGCAACACAAAATTTTTTTATCATTTACAAAAATGTGACAAATAAAAGAACTTTAACTGATGCTTATGTGGATATAAAGGGATTAGTCAAGAATGATATTCCTTACCTATGCTGCGCTCCAAAATTTAAGCCACCATGATAGATACCTGCTCCAGAAAGCCATGCAAAATGCATTGCTCTTCTTTGCTTGATAAAAAAATGCAATTCACTGATAGATGACCAAAACAGCACAGGAGCTT